ATGTGGGAGCTAAGGTAAGGGACAGAACAACCAAGAACAGGCTCAAGAGAAGGGTGCAGACTTTAACATTCGACAGCAGACAGGCAGCATGGCGCCAAGCCCTGCAGTGCCCTCCCCAGGTGGCTCTGGATGCCTCTCCCATGTGCATCCTGAGGCCATCACAATGATCGTGTGTATGAGCCTGCCCTTTGCCCTTGACACTCCTTCCACCTTTCTGGCTACTCTTGGGGTACCCTGGTATGGGAATGGAGGAGGATGCCTCTACTCAAGCCTCCAGTTGCCCCAGAGGGGAACTGTGAGGCCAGGGCTCACCATGAGCACCATGACTTAGGTGCCCTGGTGCCAGCCATCCTGCCAATAAGGGATACCATTTGTAGGGTCTGTTCACCCTTGAACTAGTGGCTGGATGCAAAGGCACAGAGCAGTGCAGTTCTCTAAGCAAATGTTTCTAACACCTTGTGTAACACCCCTGTGATGGACAGCTGGCTGGTGCAGCAGTTCACAGGGAGGCCACCGACCATGAAGTTCCATTTATAAGCTGGGGTCTAGAAAGACAGGGTATGTTCCAACCAAAGTGGGTTTCAGAATTGGTGGTGCAGGGCACAGCAGGGAATCACCACAGTTAGCACGAAATGCCAATCAGTTAGTGGAGAAGGACCCAAGTTTAGACAGAACACATAAATTACAATTTGGGGGGCTGGAAAGATGGCTCAGTGGTTAAGAACACTGGTTGTTCTTGCAGAAGACTCGGGTTCAAGTCCCAGCACCCACAGGACAGCTAACAACTGTCTGTAACTCTAGTCCCAGGGGATCCGACAGCCTCTTCTGACCTCTGTGGGCATTGCATGACATGGGTGCACTTCCATACATGCAGGCTGTACATGCATACACATAAAATAAAAATAATAAATAAAAAATTAATTTGGATGCAAATCAAATAAGCTGCTTAATTAAGATCCCACAAATTGGTCTGCGATTTCTCTTACAGCTGCTATCCTCTGGGTGTCTCACCTCAGGGCACTGGCAGGGAAGTCAGTCAGCTGTACACCTTCCCTTATCTTCCCCACAGAGTGGTACACTGGGTAGCACTCTGGCCCCAGGCTCTGGAGGAACAGGTAGGTGGAGACAGGCAGAGAGCTAGAGCCAAGTGCTGATTTTGGAGAGGTAGTAAGGGACACAATCCCTCAGGTTGGCTCACTTTCCTGGGTCTCACTTCTCTTCACCCTATGGACTTTGCAGAGCCCTCATTCAATACAGGCCATGTAGTGTGGGACCCTGGACATTGTACTGAGACATTATTTTGCCTTCCATCATCACCACTGCCAAGCAGTTACCAAATGAAAAACAATCTGCTACAGAGACAGGCTTGACAGGCATGTAGTGAGGGTGGCAGCCAACATGATCCACAGTGCACAGGACCCTAGGCTCCTGGGACAACACAGAACAGTCCTATAGGGGGAGGTGCTCTGTATATGGAGAAGTCAGACACAGGATAGACACGGAGAAACAGATCCTTAATGTAGGCATAGGCAGTGTAGGCCAGGCCACTGGGCTGTTCAGATCTCAAGGCAGCAAAGGACAGGAGAAGGCCAGGCCTGGCCAGGCCGGAGCAGTGCCTATGAGGAGCTTTGGCTGGACTTGAAGTGGGTGGGAAGAACAGCCCTAGAACTAGTGACCCTGACTGAGATACTGGGTGTTCTACATCTTGTGGCCAGCTTACTAGGCAGGCATCTAATGTCCTCACTCCAAGGCCATTCTACTAAAAGGAAGGACCCTGGGGCTGGAGAACTGGTTCAGTGGTTAAGAGCACTTGCTGCTCTTGCAGAGGACCAAGGTTCAGTTCCCAGCACCCATATCAGATGGCTCACAACTGTCTATAACTCCAGTTCCAGGTGATCCGATGGCCTCTTGTGGCTTCTGCACACACATGGTGCACATACAGACAAGTAGGAGCACAAATATATACATAAATAAAATTGGAAAAAAGGGTAAGGCCTCAATCCTAATAGGATCCAGCACCTTTGTCCATCTGCGTTCCCGCCTTACCTCCCACCAGCCTGGCTCCAGCACTGGTTCAGGAGGAAGGGATGCAGAGGACATCACATCACATCAATGGCTAGGGTCCACCTGGCACTGCACTGACGACCTGCACTGAGTCCATATGGCATAGTCATACCAAGGAGGAACTGGAGTAGCTCAGTCACTCAAGTGACCTGGAGCCAGAGCATGCAGGCTGTATAGCCCTTAGGCCTGGCCTTTAGAGCAGTATTGGGCCCAGGTTCCAAGAGAGGCTCTTATATGGGGCAGCCATGTAGCCTTTGGACAAACTTGTTCCCAACTCGAGAGCCATCAGGAGGGGGCAGTGGGGCAGATCTATGACTCCCAGCCCTTGGGCATGTATGATCTATGTCCATGGGCAGTTCAGACAACATGTCTTTTGTAGTATTTCTCCTGACTTGGATTCCATATAGACACATAGGGGCCCCAGTATTTGAAATAAGAATACTGTGTCTTCACACAAAGACACAAAGCTTGTGAGGGCCTGAGGACTCCACAGACTAACCCATAAAACCATGCAGGTAACCTGGGGGCCAAGAGACTAGGGATCACGTTGATAATCCAGGACTATGAGCCTGGGGTCTATGCTGGTACCTAGGGTTCGTCAGGGAAGGCCAGGATTAATGCTGGCTCTTTTGGGCCTGACTGTGACCTTGGTCAGGTGACCCACTGCTCAGACATCAGGCCTCTATGTAACATGGGCTTCTTGGGATTGAGTTTGAGAGAGTGGAGCTGACTAACACTGGCCTCCTGACTTGGCTGGGGTACTCATGGGCCAGGCTGTCCCATTCTAACTCCAGGATGATTTTTTTCTAGGCTGGACTCCAGTAAGAGACCAGCTTTCAACTCTCTGACCCTGAGCCATGAAGAGTGAGGACGTGACCTGGGCTCTGTGGAATGGTGTCCCACCGAGGAGAGACTTTGTTAACAGCAAGGATCATGTACCTTCCAGGTGTGAATTTTATGTGCTTCATGTTCTGAGAAGAAAGTAGAAAACCCACACGCTCCCTTACAGAATCTCAGAAAAATGGAAGATGTATGTTCCTATGGAGCTGAAGAGGTAGAATGTAGGCCTCACCCCACCTGCTGGAGCAGAGTGAGGCTCTACTGGTGGCACCAAGGGCTTCTCCTGATGCCATTTTAGCCCCATGTACAAGCATGTTAAAGTCTGGACCAACTTGCACCCACCACGCCATGTGGATCTGGGCTCTGCCCAGAGAAACCTTCCAGACATTCACAGATGCTGATAGGATCCACTCTGTACCTTCCTGGTTGGATGCCAGTCTGGTAGAAGAAAGGTGGGTCTCTGGACAGAGCAGCAGGCTATCCCCAAGCTGCTCTTCAGGGATCCAGGGAGGGATCCACACAGGCCTGAGAGGAGCTTTCTTCTTCCTGACTTCTGAACCACCCATACCCTTGAGGAGCCATCAATGGGGACCCCAGGGAGGATCCTGAAGAGAGGAGGTCATGTATAACATCCCCAAGGTTCTACACACTGTAGCTCCAGATCCCTTGGGGGTACTCTAAGGATACCTCTGGGTCTTGGGACCAGGAGGATCCTTAGGATACTAGCTCTGAGGGGCCTGGCAGGGTAATGTTCAGGATGACCATCAGGCAGCGTGCGGCAGTAAGGAGGTGAGCTAAGCAGGCCTGTTGGGGCTTTGGATACTGTCCTAGGCTTCCCTATACTTCCACACAAGGTACTGGGGTCCTGGGTGTCAGAGCTGTTGCATCATGGTCACACGTCCACCTTTTATGCTGTCCACCCGCCTGTGCCTGCTCCCCTAGCCTGGCATCTTGCCTAGCCCAGAACCCTGCCTAGCAGGAGCCTCCTGAGCTGAGGCATTTGTAGTTACCTCTTAGTTGGTTCAGAATGTTCTAGTATTTAGATTTTTCATTAAGTGATTTTCTTCCCCATTAAAGCATATTAATGGTTTTCATGTGTTTAAAGACCTTGAAGAGCCTGAGGGGCTGGAGGAGGTAGGACCAGCACCTTAGAGGACACAAGGCCTATGGCAACTCCATGTGGGTAGAAGGACCAGCAGGAGCCTAGGGTACGTGTGATGTGGTACTACGCCTTCAGACCCTGGGCAGGCACCAGGATACCTATGGTCCATTTGGGACCATCAATAGCGGGGCCTGGGCAGGCCACCCCTGATGTTGCTGGCCCGAGAGGGGTTGGTGGTGGGCTCAGGAGAGGCTTAGGAGCATGGAGGGATAGTGAAGTCCTCTGCCTGGACCTGGGCTGTACCGTCTGAAGGCCTCCTGTAAAGGCAGACATCCCAGGAGGGTGTGTTGATCCTTTAGCTTCTTTTTCTGCAGGGACACTACTCACATGCCCTTAGTGTCTTCTAGGTGGCCTGTATTATGCAGGGCAGAGCAAGTGTGCCTAGCCTCCAACTGTGGATATCCACACATGCATGCTGAAGACGGTGGAGGCCACTGGGCCACACGAGGGAGAAAGGTGGTAGAAGCCACGGTACCTCCCTTCTTGGTGGCTTAGAAGCAGATAGGTCCCGGGTCCCCAGGAGTCTCCCAGTGGTGCCCCCTTCCTAGGGCCTGTACCTGTCTGAACTCCTCCCAGGAGTTGGTCCAAGTCCAGAAGTGGGCCTTGTACTGGCCAAGAGTGACTGCCATCAGTGTGTTGCCACGGTAATAGAATATAGGCCTGTGGGGTTGAGGAGAGGACAGATATGACCAGTCCATGTATTCACATGTGGGACTCTTGGCTGGAAAGTAGTGAGCTGTCCACGCCTCCAGGCAGGTTTCAGCTGATACTTTAGAGATATGCTAAGCCAGGCATGGTGGCACATGCCTTTAATCCCAGGACTCGGGAGGCAGAGGCAGGTGGATCTCTGTGAGTTCAAGTCCAACTTGGTCTACATAACAAGTTCCAGGCCAGCTGGGGATGCAGGGAGACCTGTCTCAAAAAGACAAACAAATAAACAAACAAACAAACAACCCTCCCCAAAATCAAAAACCCAAAACAACCAAAAAACAAAAAAAAATGGGGCTGGAGAGATGGCTCAGCAGTTAAGAGCACTGACTGCCCTTGAAGAGGACCTGGGTTCAATTCCCAACACCCACATGGCAGCTAACAACCATCCCAATTCCAGTTCCAGGGGAATTCGATGCCCTCTTCTGACCACTGTGGGCACTGCATGACATGGATGTACTTACATACATGCAGCCGATACACTCATACACATAAAATAAAAATAAAATATTAAAAACAAAAATACCCCAGAGATATGCCAATGCCATATAGTACAAAAAAGTAGAAGGGGGTAAAGATGTATGGCTTAGCAGAATGCTTGCAGAGCATGTATGCATGAGGTCCTGGGATCCCACCCCATCACTCTGTATGTGCTTGTGTGTGTGTGTGTATGTGTGTGTGTGTGTGTGTGTGTGTGTGTGTGTGTTTGTGTCTAGGCCCACAGGTCTATA